TGCTCGCGTGCGCCCTCCGGGCCGCGGTCTCCGGCCCGCCGTGGGGCCCCGCGGGACTGCGGCGCTGGGCCAAGGCAGGTGGCACCAGGGGCGAGCGAGTGCGGGGTGTAGGGGGCGCCCTGCGCCACCCTCCGCGCCCCTTACGCGCGCGATGGCACCTTTTCTCTTGCAGGCGCTCCAGCTGTGCTGCCTCTGCTGCGCCTCGGTGGCCGCGGCCTTAGCCAGCGACAGCAGTAGCGGCGGCAGCGGATTAAATGCTGGTTCGTATTTGCTCCCTTCCTTGCCCCACCCCAAGGGCCCTTTTTGGAGTATTTTGTTGCTCTTGTCACCCCGCAAAGAGAGAAAAGAGAGAAGCGCAAGCCCAAACCCGGCAGGTGTGCGCTGGCTTGGGAACGGTCGTGTTTGGAGAGGAGGAACGCCGAGGACCGGGAACTTAGCGGAAGAACTGAAGTCACATAAAGGAGAAGTATTTTCCCTCCTTCGCTGATGGCTTACTGGGAAAAAATAACCCTAACTGCAGTGAGGAATTAAAAAGGAAGTGGACCCTCGCTAGGGAATTAATGACCAAAAGGCTCCCTCCCTCGTCTCCTTCCTGCCGTCTCCTTCCTCTCCTCTCCTTCCTCTTCCTCGCAGAGACTGAGTCCTGGTGAGGTTTGAAGCAATGTGAGCCCCTTTCCGCCCACCATCTTCCTCTTCATTTCCATTTCTGTTCCTTTTCTTCTTTTCCTTTCTCCTCTTCTCTACCCTTGTGCTATAGAAGCCCAAAGACAGCTTTTTAGAGAGAGGAAGACACCAGTTTAAGGTCTCCGAGTCCTTTTTTACATTTTCTGAGATTCCTCAGACACAAACTTCCAGAACATTCTTTATTCTGTCAGTTATCAGCTTCCAAATGGTGACCAGAAGGAAAATCCTCCCTTCACTGTTTTCCACCAGCTACAGGGGAACAGTTGGCTCCTGATCCAAGCTGTCTAGCAAAGCGTTGCTGTCCAGCCCAGATTTCTTGGGATTTTTAAATTTTCATCGTTGCAGGATTTACTCCTGGGGTAGGGGGGTCATTTAGAAATTAGCTCTAGAGAGATTTACGTTTTGTCCAATCAAGAGGCTGCAGTTTCTAAAACCATCCCCTCCTTGTCCCTCAGTGGCTGAAGATCACTTCTGTCCCAGCGACCACCTGTAGAGACCTTATCTCTAGTGAAGGCCCAAACTCTCTACAGAGGGCTCCAACTGTGTGAATGTAACCAGTAGCCTTGTTAGGCTGCTCTTGGAAACAAAACTAGTAGCAGGTGTCTTGTGGGTGGAGCTGGTTGGATAGAGCTCCCACAAATCCAACTAAAAGCAGTCGGTTTCAGATGATTTTGAACAAGGAGTAAGAATCAATTTGCTATGGGAGCTGTTTGTACCATAGTGAGAGATGGTTTCATAGTCAGGTCTTTTTGGTAGTAGGAGAAAGTGGGATTTCTCAAAGATAAGCCTTAGAAAGCAAAAAGTGAAATATTTTATGTCCTGGTCAGTCTTGTGAGATGAAAAGAAGGGAATTTCCCCCCTAATTTCTGAAATATACGTATGTCAGTTGTAGTATTGCATTTCCAGTTAAAGGACAGAAGGAGAAAATTGGAGAGGCAGGACCAAAACACATAAGAATGAGAGCTCCCCAGGCAATAAAAGTCACACAGGGTACCTATGCGGAAGGAAGCAGTTGAAAGCAATTGTCCTATTGGTTTTTTAAAACAGGAGTGTCATTAGAATGTCACTCACTGATTCCTGCTGGCTGCTTGTATTCTTTAACCTCTAAAAAAAAGATTTTTGGTTGTTGTTGTTGACTGTTTTGGGAAAAGGGAAATTCCTCTTTTCATTTTCTCCCTGCTCTCAGTAACCAAGAGCCTAAGTGACTCAAACATGCCTCTTAGTTATTCGGAATCTCTCTAAACACTTTCCAAATTAGTTTCCCATTCTGTGCCTTGAAAGTGGAAACGCAGAGCTGTCTTCAGTGCGCAGAGGGCATATTCCAAAGCATTTGGGGAAGATGATGCTTTGCAGTGTCAGTGTTTTGTGGAAGAAAATAGCGTTCTGCCGCTGCTTTTCCAAACAGCAAATTGTTTTGCAGCTCCCCCTCTCTAGAACAAGCAGCAATTAGTGCTACTCGGGGGACCGAGGGTGCAAGTATTTTTAAACATGCCTTTCCAGGTGTCCCCTGGTCTGCCACGCCCCCTCCAACGTGTCTGAACAGTTTTGAACGTCAGCCCACAGAAGTGTAGAAGATATCTCTGACAATTTGGAGGCATTTTTCTGCACACAGAGTATTTCAGGCTTCTGATTAAATGTGATCGCCTCTGAGAAAGCTCAGAGTAAACTGTTCATGGCGACACAGGGCTGGGGATTTTATCATCACGCGTAAGTAATATTGGAAATATGAAGCTGCTATTGCTTGTTAATGTCCTCGGGGACCATCTGAGGTTACCCCTGTGAATTATGAGCCATCACACTCCGTCCCCCCAAATATACTTCCAATTCAGCCTTATCATAGTTTCTAAACCTCTTGAAAAAAACAATACCATTTATTTACCTTTGAGATTTTGTATTAACTGTTTTCTCCCCAAATCCATTGCATATATTTTATCTACTTAGCTATGGATGGTTCCATAGCTAAATATATAAAGATCCCACTTTCTCCAGAACTTGAGAGCTGTGACCCTTCCACAAACATTCCTGAAGTTGATCAAAATTGTGCTTGGTTTTTGGTTGCAGTGGGAACTAGGGTGGTGGAGCTAATTGTAGGGATAGCAGGTGGTCCTCGTTCGTGAGCTGCTCTGGGTTATGTTTGCTCTAGGGCTTAGGTGCCCGGTGATAGGAACAAAGTTATCTAAGCTATATGTCGCTCTTGGACAGCTTGTTGGAAAGTGACCGTTTGGCATTGTGGGCTCTGGGTGCTGACAGCTAAACTTTTCCCATTGCAGATTACGTCTTTGTCACGCCAGTAGAAGTGGACTCGGGCGGGTCACATATTTCACACGACATTTTGCACAACGGCAGGAAAAAGCGCTCCACGCAGAGTGCCAGGAGCTCCCTGCACTACCGATTTTCAGCATTTGGACAGGAACTACACTTAGAACTTAAGCCCTCGGCGATCTTGAGCAGTCACTTTATTGTCCAGGTACTTGGAAAAGATGGTGCTTCAGAGACTCGGGAACCTTCTGTGCAACGATGTTTCTATCAGGGATTTATCAGAAATGACAGCTCCTCTTCTGTGGCTGTGTCTACGTGTGCCGGCTTGGTAAGTGCACCCCGGTCTAGCCAAGCTTGGGCTTTTCTGTTTTGCATAACTTGAATGAACAGATGTCTGCAATATTAAGTGCTCTTCTAGCCAACTCCACACATTCACGCTGTCAGCTTTGATACTTATAATATTCTCAATTGAATTAATCTAATCTGCTTTCAGAAAAAAAGGAAATATAATAGAACTTTAATGACCATTTTGAACATTCTTTTGATGTTTAATGGTCTGGGCCTTTTTCATTCTGCACATTTGAGACAGTCCCCAAGGAAATTAATTTGATGGATGCCATTCGCTTTGTAAACTCTTGGGAGACCAGGCATTTTATAAATCTAATAAGCTGCATGCGTCTACATTGCTTTTGAAATGGGAAAACTGTATTTCAATGTGCAGTTGCCTTCAGCAACCCTGGTAAGTCCAACTTTCAACTTTCCTGAAAAGAGGCCTTTTGCTTTCCTTTAACTAACCTGTTGGTATTACCTTGCTTGCATGAGGATCTTTTTAGCCTGTGGCATGGTGTGTTCTTGAGCTAGCAGGTGCACATGTGGCATCCAGGGGGGCAGCATATTTAAAAGCATTCGGGACAAGTGTTATTTCCTGGCTGTGTATCTTCATCTGTTGAGCACCCGGCCAAGACTGTTGGTGTGATTGATACTTCTCTTAGGAGTCAATCAAATATATGAGGCAGTAAATGGTGTTCTGGGCTTTTGTTTCGTGTTACAACTGAAGAAGTCTCGCAGTGACAGAAGAGCTTGTGTGAGAGCCACGTGGTGACCATGCAGTGGTGTGGAAATGTAAGAAAGCCACTAAGGGCTGCAGTTGGTAATATGTGGTGTGCATCGTGTCCTATGCCAGGGGAGCTGCTTGGATGGAGTGAATGAGAACTCCTATGCTCTCTTAGCTGAAGCTTTTAGTTCGCTTGTAACTGTTTTTCACAGTGTGGCCTGAAATTCAGCTAAAGTCTTTCATTATAACCACATTCATGGTATTTTTTTGATCTATTTAAAGTATAAAGTAAAAGCAGTGATTTAACATTTCCAGCTGAGCTGGATCCATTTAAATGAGAATGCTCACTTATGACCTGTATAACACGGTTATACACATGTGTGCACACATGCACTAATATATGTTGGTGTTCTGTGTTGTTTTGTTTGGCTATGGCACATCTCCTGCTGTTTCATTGCATTCCTGCATGTCTGTTCCAGTATTCGAAAATCTTCTCAGGTTAGACACTCCAGTATAGCACCTTGACTGTCTCACCCCCACATATTTACAGTTAGGAGTGGTTTGGCCAGGTTCTAATTTTCACATCAGCTCTTGTTGGATCTTGGACAAGTTATTCAACCAAGTGCCTTAGTTTCTTTATCTCTAAAATGGGAATGACAAGATCATCACTTCACTGCAACACTGCGAGGAGTAATGACTTCCATCAGTGGTGCTGGCAGGGCCGTCATCTGTCTCACTGTCATTTCCCACAAAACTTAACACACCATGATTAGTGCTGTCAAAACTCCAGAGTGATGGGAAACACGATCAGCTGACTCATCAGTAGGTGCCAGTTTATTTCTTCAAAGATAGAGATTTACATTTTGTTTTGTTTTGTTTTGTTTTTTTCTCCGGTACCGGGAACTGAACTCACGACCTTGCGCTTGCCAGGTAGGCGCTTTGCCGCTGAGCTAAATCCCCAGCTCTGAGATTTACATTTGAACAGGGAACCAACTATCACCTAACATAGAAGAATGAGGTAGGTTAGAAATGTCCACCTTCCCCAGGTGTGAAAGCACTAACTGACAAGCAGATCTGCCCATGTCCAAGGCTGATATAAACTGAAATCATGAGGGTCAGGTTGTTCAAACAACCTCGTGCTTAGTTTTATCCCTGCAGGCTTCAGTTTGTTCTCCTGAAATGTGTGAATTGATTTCTAAGATCATTACCAGGTCCAAGCATCTGACTCTGATTATCCAATTTGTTGACACTGGCGGGGCTCATTTGCTAAGCAGTAGAGAGAGAATCAAGCTTATCATTACCTGTCTCCATTCCCACCAAACAGCTGAAAGATGTATACGCCTATACTCAGCACAAGTATAAGAAGCAAAACGTAAGAGAGGAAACAACTACAGTTAGCAAGCTGTGATACTGCTCTGTATTAACTTCGGTGACCTTGCGTTGATGTACGCTACATACACACAAATGTGCTAAATATAAATACTGCAGAAAAATACAAAAATTATCATAGTCCTGCTTCAATTTCCTACCCCTGTAAGCACCAACCAGACCAAACGGGGCATTATTAGTGTCCCTAGGAGCACTTCTTTGTCCTATTTCTTTCACTAGCCACCAGTGGTAACCACTATCCTAACTAACAGTGTCATCACACCTATCTTTACATAAGTGGCATTATGAAATAATTGTGGGCATGAAGGTTCTCACTGTTTCCTTCTTCTCTGTTGATTAACTATCAAACTGTTTTCCAGTTTGATATGGTGATGAAGGCTACGGCTGAACAATCATGCTGCCTTTTGGTGAGCTTAGGGACACATTCTGTTGGCTATATATCTAAGAATGAAGTTGCTGAGCCACAGAGTATGCATAGGTTCAGCTTCAGTAGATATTGCCAATTCACTTTTCAGAGCAGTTATATTACCATCACTTCTGTTGTCAGTGTATGAGGTTTCCAGTGGTTCCACATCCTCATCAACACTTGATATTGTCTGTCCTTTCCTTGTAACCGTTCTATAGGTGCGAAGTGGTACCACATTATAGGTTTACTTTGCGTTACTCTGATGGCTAATGAAGCTGAGTACCTTCTAAGGCACTGATTGGCTTTCTATACTCTTTCATGATCTGTGTCATAAATGGCCAAGAAATAATAGTATTTCCAGCCTAAACTGTGGTATGTATTTTTTCTTGTGAATAGAAACAAGAATTCTGAGCAAAAACATTTTATTCAATTTCTTATGGCTGCAAATCTCTAAAAATGCATTTATTTGTTTTTGAAATATGATCAAATGAAAAAAGTGAGTCCTGTGAGATCACTTGAGATACTACATTGGAAGGACATTTCGTTAAGGACATTGACAGATTGAGGGTCGAAGAGAAACAACCAAGTCAGGAGAAAGAATGTCTTTGCTATTCTAGCTGCTCGTACACATTGCTTGGCTTCTTTGGCCACGCAGGGCCTTGTGATGCCTCTAAAGTTGATTAGCAACAACAGTGATGGATTTCAGACAGTGTAGATGATTCGAGGGTTCAGGAAAGGGACTTGTGTCTGATAGACTTGCTAGAGGGACGCATCAAAGTTAACATGCCAGAGAGATGACAGCTCTTCATGAGTATCCTGACATGAGATCCTGAGATGTCTTGACACCTCTGTGCTGGTTTTTAAGACTAGGGCTGGAGCACTCACTCAGGATCTCTTAGGATATGAGGGCAGCCTCCCTGTGTGTGTGTGCATGGGGTGCTAATAGAAAAGTAATGCATCCTTTCTGCATGATTTGGCAAAATACCTGTAGGAAAAACTAACCATTATATTATTAACTGCCTGGGAAACCACAGAAGGAAAAAAGGTAGAAGGGATAGAGAGGTGAAATGTATATATACAGATGTACAAAGAGGCACGCATACTGCATACTGCAGCTGGCATTTTTCAAGTAGGGAATTTGCCTTAATAACTCAGAATTAATTTCTGTTTAAAATATTTGTAATATTTTCTTAAAGTGCACCCTGCACCTCCCACTCAAAACTGACAGGCTCACTTCATTCAGGACCTGAGTAGCTTGGAATGATTCATAAAACTAAAATTGCAAACTTACCCTTTCTTATTTTTGTTTCTTCTTATACTTGGTGGTGGTGGGGGCTGCTTTTTAAATGCTGAATACCTTTTCTAGGTCACCACTGCCCTCTACACTTGGTGACCTTTAAGCCTATGAAGGGTTTTGGATCTGCCACTTTTGTCCCAGGTTTGCAGGATTGCAGATAAACCTAATGTGATCACTGCCTGCCTTGTGTGTCCCTTCTGCTGTCTGGCCTCCCCTCGACCACTGCAGTGATGGAAAGGTCCTGAGAGCCAGCAAACCCAGGCTGTTGGAGGGAGACTTCATTTCACTGTTGAACTACAACTGGCTTAGGAATTCTCCCTGTCTTCCTTGATTTTTTTTTCTGAGAAAACAAACCTGTATCTTTCTTCCTGTGTACTAAGAGAGCTAAGAGACTGTTCTGCTCTAAAATACTCTCCTTTGGTGATCTTTTTTTTGTTAGGAAGTGACGTTCAGAGTGGGATCAACTCCATTCCTTTCCTTTGAGGCACCGAACATGTCAGTTCCTTTGCTTCCCACCAACACTTAGGAAGGGCAGCTCCAGAAATGGGCACTTTTTGTTCTGCACATGATTCTGATGGGTAGAACATTTGAGGACCATGCAGGCGAAGTGCATGTAATTTTGAAAGTTACTGAAAAGACACTGAATCATCATTCTTCCATCTTGCCTCTGTTTATTTGCCTCTGTGGTATCAGACACTGTTTGGAGCACAGTGGACAAAACTACAAATACAGTGATTGCTGGAACCAGTCACATTTAGGGCCAGTTACATTTAGGGCATTTAGACCTACACCTGACTGTTTTCTTGTGAACCAAGCTGGGGCTCCACAGAACTCAGCAACAAAGAGCTCATAGAGTGTGGTTTTAGAAATGGGGGAACTGGTGGAGTTAGAGGCAAAATGCTATCTCTCAGAGCTTTACCATGCACATTAGCATATTAGTAAATTGGAACAGTCCTACAGTCATGACATTTGCTTAACTCTGTGTAAACCTAGACTTTCCCTGGCTTATCCTGTTATGTGTGAAAAAGCTCTTTTTTTTCTTTTAGAGGAGTATCTCTTCAGAGTTTGGTGACAAGAAAAACAACAAAGCAATGACTCCCCCCACCAAAGATATAGGATTGTGTATTGCTTTCTTTATATACTCAAGAATAAGGGATACTCAAGGAAGAAAGCAGTTTCATA